CCAAATAAGTAGAAGGAAGCAAATAATAAAAAACAAACTAATTAAATGGAAAAGAAGAAAGTATGGTAAAAAAACCAGAAGTCACTTAAGAGACATAAAATTGTCAACTCTTTATCAAAACTAGTGAAGAAAACAAGAATAGATTAAATGATATTAATAGATAAGGGGATATAGATATCAATTAAGAGATTAAAAACAAAAGAATACTATGAATAATTACATGCTCATAAATTTAAGTGAAATGGACAGTTTTCTTAGAAAATATAAATGACCAACATTGACTCAAAGCAGAAATGTAAGTCCAAAATTAAGGAAACTGAGTCCAACATATTCCATACAAAAATACATCAGCTTTAGATAATTTTACAGTGAGTTGTACTATTTTTAAAGGTATATTTTGCAGAGAATGTTGATTTTCTGTAAACTGTTGTGGAAAATATAAGCAGCAAGATAACAATCCAAATCATTTTATAAATCTAGTATAACCTTGATACTGAAGCCAGACAAGGATAGTATAATAAGTAAGAACTCAGATGTAAAGAATGAAAGTAAAATATAACCCAGTAGTATCAGACCCTCATAATCAAGGAAGGTTTGAGAATGCAAACATATTTCAACAGGAGAAAATTTGCTTTAATTCTCCACATTGAGATTATATAAAATAATAAAGTATAATTTTCCCAATAGATGTAGAAAAGACATTATATAAAATAAACTTATGATAAACATTTTAGAAAACTGTAACTTAAAGGAATTGCCTTAACCCCTAATAAAGAGGCTTTACAAAAAAGCTTGTTGTGAACATTTTTACTTGAGAGTTAAAAATAAGAAATACCTCCTTTCAAGTCTAGAATGAGACTTATTCCACATCACCCTAGAGATCCTAGCCAATGCATTATGATAATGAAAGGTATGATTGTCAATCCAAGTAAAAAATTGTCATTCATAAAGATGTTAACATTTTTTAAAATCCAGGAAACTCTATAGACAAACTATTAGAATTAACATGAGAGGTCAGCAAGTTCATTGGATACAAAATCAACAAACAAAAAGCAATAGCAGATAACTCTTTTCAAAAACTCATAACCCAACATATATCATGAGAAAATATTAGACAAACTCAAATTGAGAGACATTCTACAAAACACCGGACTAGTAATCTTTAAAACTGCTTAAGTCATGAAAAGCAAAGAAATTGTTTTGAAATAATTTTACAAATAAGCTGTGACAGCTGGGAGTTGCCTAAGGAGATGTGACAACCAAATGTGTCCTGGATGGGGTCTGTGACAGAGGGAAGGCATTTATGGAAAAATGGGTGAAATCCAAATAAAATCTGTAATTTAATTGTTTTATACTGATATTAACTTCTTTATTTTGACAATGTACCAAGGTTATGTAAGATATTAACATCAGGAAACTGGGGAAGGAATCTTTATACTATCTTTTCAACTTTTCTATAAATCTGAATTAAAAAAAAAATTTCCCACAAAAAACAAAAAAAATACCACTGTTGTAACCCCAAAATAACCAGTTAGATAAATAATAGGTGAAAAAACCTCCTCAAGTCAAATAGGACCTTTATAGGCAAAAACTTACAACATACTGTTGATGGCCATAGAAGACATGAATAAATGGGTGGCATAGACTATAGCCAAAGAGAGGAAGCCGTGAAAAAAAAAACCAACTGAAAACATTTTCAGTTTTCTCTAAATTGCTCTATGGATTTAATAAAACATCAGTCGAGATCCCAGTAGGACAGTTCATCAAGTTTGACAAGCTAATCCTAAAAACCATTTGAAGATAGAGGGCTAACAGTAGCCAAAGACACTTGTGAAAAACAAGGTAGGGCAGTTGCCCTTTCAGATATCAAGATAATGTAAAGCTGTAATAATGGGCCAGTGGGACAGACTAGAGTGTTTAGGAACAGGCCCACTCATACAGAAACATGTCAGGAGAAAAATTAGATCCCTACCAGAGAATATTACAAAAGTAAACATTAAATAAAAAAGCAAGGCTATTAAAATATCTTGATGACTTCAGCGTGGAGAGGGATTTCTTAAGGTATGAAAAGCAAAAATCCAAAGGAAAAGATTGTTAAATTTTGCAGCACCAATATTTAACACCCTTTCATGACAAAAGATATTGATGGCGTTTCTTTTAACCTTGCTTATAGTACGGATTTAATACTTAAACATTTAAGTGTGGCTGGGGGAGGAGGCAGGAGGTAAATCCAGTTGGAATGACATCTTATTTGCCTTTAAAGATCACCCTGGATGCTGTGTAGAGAATATTGGAGGGGACTCTTTGCAGTGGAAGCAGGTGGTCAAGTGAGTAGGCTAATATCCAGGGGAAATCTTGGTGATTAGGACGGTAATGCAGAGGGAAAACATGGGACAGATTTGGGATGTGACTTCAATGTACAGTCAGCAGGACTTGCTGATGAATTGGATGTTGGTGGTAAGAAAAAGAGAAATCTAGAACAATGGTGAGATTTTTGGCCACCGCAGCTGGTGCTATTTATAGAAATGGGGAAAAGGGAAATTAATATTTGTTTTAAATACTTTGAGTTACCGATTAGACATCTAGGTGGAGCAGCCAGCAGTTAAGTGGACAGTTTGGATATATGAGATCGGGCTTCTGTGGTAGAGAATTTAAATTTGGGGGCTGTTGGAGTGTAGTTGGTATTTGAACCATGCACTAGGTGAGACTGCTGCCTAGGGAGTGGATGTTGCTGTGATAGTCCAGTGACTGAGTTACCAGCATTTAGAGGTTGAACAGAACAGAAACCAGCTGAGACGCAGGGAAGAGGCCATTGACCAGAGAGGGTGGGGGGGAGAGGGGATCAGGGCAGTGTAGTATCACTGAAAATAAGATGCCCTGGGTTTTTGTTTGTTATCATTGTTTGTTTTAATGAGGCTGTTGAATGTTACTGACAGTGGAATAAGAGGAAGAACACATTTCCTAGCCGCATAGTGAATTGACGAGCAATTGCCGGGCTATGGCATAATAGGTAGAGAGTGTGCTCTAAGGCTTTTGAGTCAGTGGCAGAAGATCACGCTGTCAAGAGGGTACTGGGGATCGCCGCGGGGGAGGTAGTAACTGGAGGAGCTCTGAAAGCATTCGGTATCTGATGGGCATGAATGATCCGGGATCCAAGGAGAAGATTGTATTGCAGATAGAGAGGCCTTTGAGAAGGAGAGGAAATGGGATCTATAGAATGTGTTAAAATTACTTCCAAAACTGTAACCAGACATTAGTTAGCATCACCTGGGGAGCTCCAAATACCTCTGTGGGACGCTGAGTGTCTACAGTGTTTAACAACTCCCCAAGTTGTCCTGATGTGTAGCCAGATTTGAAAACTTCTGAACTAAGGATAGTACCACATTCACTTTCAGTGGTGCCCTTAGAATTTCAGTAGAGGCTGCTGAGGAATGTTTCATACATACATAGCAAACACAATGTTTTCACTTGGATTTTATGTTTATGTGGCACTACTGGGTAAGAAGAGACTGTTGAAGACGAGTTTAAAACATCCCTCACCCCAAGCCAGGAGCTTCTTAAGGTAGCAAGCAACTACTGATTTATATTTATGCTTGCTAGGTATAAATATAAATTTGGGGTATCATATTCTATATGCTCTTAGGTAACTTGATTTTTGTAACTATCTTATGATTTTTTTCCCTTTAAAATTAAAATCATATACTTTTATTGGCCACATAAAATTGCAATGTGTGATTTACAAGAAGAATACAACTTAATTCTTCTGTGGAGTACATTTTTCTAATAAAAATCATGCTCCATGAATATGCCTGCATATAATCTTTTGTACATCTCTGCTTATTTCCTTTGCTTTAGTTCCTTAAGAGTAGAATAGTTGGGGGGGGGGGGAAAGAGTAGAATATCTGGATCAAAGGGTACATTGAGCTTTTCATAATTCATTGATTTTACTACTAGGAAAGAAATAACATACTTCTGGCAGGGACATTCAAACAGTGTGGACATTTTCCCTAGAGGTAGCCAGTTAACAATTTCTTGTATAGTTTTCCAGAAGTTTCACCTGCATAGGTGTTCTTCCTTAACAAACATCAGTTCATTTCTACGAACTTCATCTACTTGTGTGTTTCACTAACTCGATTGAGTCATCGCTCCTTATTAGTCCCCGACAGCTCTACTTCATCATTGTCCCAAGTGTACAGGATTTCCTCGAGTCATCTGTCACTCTTGCTCTGTCCTACAAGGCACTGCCGTGAGAGACTGCTTGTGTAGAACGTCCCATGAACCGCACTTGTCCGGGTTTCAGTTTAGTATTTGAGTCGGGTTGGAATTTTTCTTCCCTAAGACTGTCAGCCATTTGTATTTTCCTGTGAATTGCCAGTTTTCTCCCCTTTTGCCCATTTTTCTGGCTTGGGTTTGTCTTTATATTACTGGTTTCCAAGAACTCTTCATTTATTAACAAGTGAGCCCCGTGTCTTTAGTTTGTCCCAGGAAGAAAAGTGTCGTCTCTCACTTATTTGTCTCTAGACTTCAGCATATATGTTTTTTGCCCGTCGGATTTTCATTTTTAGACAAATGTATATATTTTTTCTTTTTCTTCTGCAGTTTTGCTTTTGGGAGTCGCTTGAGGGTGGGCCTTTCGCCGTGTCACTCCTCTTTCTTTGTTTGGGGGTCACCNATATATTTTTTCTTTTTCTTCTGCAGTTTTGCTTTTGGGAGTCGCTTGAGGGTGGGCCTTTCGCCGTGTCACTCCTCTTTCTTTGTTTGGGGGTCCCCCCCCCCCCCGTCGCCTCCCCCTCCCTCGCCTTCCCAGACCCCTCTTTGGGGCCCCTCGCGTAGGCTCAGTTGACGTCAATCTCCAGCCCTGGCGCCAAGCCGTCGCCACGACAACTGCAGCCTGATTGGCAGAGCTCAGGGGCATGGCGAGGTGGGCCCAGGGTGGGCAGTGCGGCTGCTGATTGGCCTGCGCCAGAGCCCCGCCTCTGCGGAAAGCCTCACAAGGAGTCGCGGGGCTGAGGCTCGATGCAGTAGCTCGGGAGCCGTGGAGGAGGTCGTAGGATTGGAAGAACGGACATGTCCACCCTGGGCTGGTGGCGCCGCTAGGCGCCGGGAGCCGTGTTGGCATACTAGACAGTGTGCGGTCTGCACCTTGGCTGAGCTGCGGAGTGAGGGGCGGTGAAGTGCGGTGAGTCTGGCCGCATGCCTATGCCTTGGTGTTAAGTGGGGTGCGCTGGTCACAAGCTACAGGTGAGGGGCCCTCAGCAGGCGGGCGGCTGCCCAACGTCTCCTGGTGGGGGTCTTCAGCTGGTCAGACGTGGGCTGCCGCGCGCTTGCCGCAGTGGCGCCATCTTACTCAGTCGGCCACCCTTTTGAGGAGGCCGCGGAGTCGGGGGGCTGCCGCGCCATCTTGCTGGCGTGGAGGTGGGGGACAGGGATGGGATAGTCACAGCGGCCATGGACTCATGTCACAGCTAGCCCGCCTGGGTGAGCGTCGAAGCAGCGGCCCGTCCCTAACGAGCGGAGTTGGTGCAGTCTATGTCTTGGAGCGCCCCACTCTCATCGGCTGCATCTGGGGGCTGCAGAACATTCTCCCCATCTCACAGGGTCCCTGATTGGCCAGGTATCCATGGGCCGCCCTGCATCCTTGTCGTCTTTGGGGGTGGGGCTTGTTTTGCCGCAGTGGCGGTGGGAGGGGTTATGGGCTGCGAGGGGCGGGGCCGGCGGTCTGTCGCACCTATAGAGTTCAATCTGGGCGGTGATGGGCTGGGGCCCCGCCTGCCGTGGCGCCATCCTCGGTGTGGGTGGCTGAGGTTTGCTGCGCAGGCGCTGTCACTGATGAGTTGACTGCAGAGGCAGGGCCAAGGGCTGTGTCATTGCGAATCACTTGACTATGACGAGTTCGTTAAGCCCCGCCTACCTTAGCACCATCTTTGATGGAGGCGGCTGAGGTTTGCCGCGCAGGCATGGTCTTGGCTGGCTGACCGTAGAGGGCGGCGCCAAAGTCTGGTATCTGCGGTGGCCTGGTGTTCTTTGCAGTGATGGAAGGCTGTGGGTCCTGCCCACCTGACACCTTCTTTGTTTGGTGTGTATGTCTGGCCGCAGAGGCTTGCAGTGTCAGTGCCACCCTGACTAGCATGGGGTTTGAACTCGTGATTTCTGAAATCGGGCCGCGACTAGTGACCAGATTTAGCAGCCAGGTCCATGTGGCATCTATTGAAGCCAGGCACTATGCCTGGAGTTTGCTGTAGCTGTTGCCGCTGTGGAACTGTTTGTCCTGAGGGACAGGGCTACAGGATGTCAGCGTGCCTGCTTTTTCTCCTTGGCTAGGTCTGGGGGCTACAGAGGCTCACCCCTTCCCCTGTTGTGTTTCCGGGACTGTTTTCACCCTGAGATGTGTCTGGCTCCATCTTTTGGCTGGGGGGTGCTAGGAGACGAGGAAAAGCCAAGGTGTATTGTGCAGGCACCATGTCAGCGGGGTTGAGGGGTGGGGCCACGGGCGGTCTTCGAGGACTGACAGCCCTACAGATCCCTGCCCACTCGGCTGTATATGTTTGTCAATAGTTGGCTGCCGCGGCTTACTGCGCAGGTGCCATTGTGAATGACGGTGGAGCTGCAGGGGCGGGCCTGAGGGAGGGCTGCTGAACCCTGCTCATCCTAGCACTATGTTGGCTAATAGGTAGCAGCCGAGACTTACTGCGCAGGTGCCATCATGAATGACAGCTGGGCTGGATGCAGGGGGCGGTCCTGAGGGAGGGGCTGCTGAGCACCGCCCACTCTAGCACTATGTTGGCCTACAGGTAGCAGCTGAGATTGCGCAGGTGCCATCTTGAATGACAGCACTGCTGGCTGCAAGGGGTGGGCCCGCTCTAGCTCTGTGTTGGCCAACTGGTAGCTGCAGATTTACTGCACATGCGCCATTTTAAATAACGGCAGGGCTGGCTGCAGGGAGTGCGCTCAAGGGAGGGCTGTGTGTCCCAAATGACTGATGGAGTGTGCAGTCCCATGCCCACTATAGCACTGTGTTGGCCGATGGGTGGCCACCGAGGTTTAATATGCAGGTGCCATTATGAATGATGGTGGAGCTTTAGGGGGGCAGGCCTGAGGGAAAGGCTGACATATTTTGAGTGCCATGAGGGCAAGGGGGTGTGCAGACCCCAGCCCATCTAGTGCTGTTTGTTGGCCAGCAGGTGGCAGATGAGGCTTATTGTGCAGACGCCATCTTGAATGACAGTGTTGCTGTAGGGGGTGGGCCCAAGGGAGGGGCTGTGTTGTCTTGAGTAGCTATCGTCGTGCTACAGATCCCTGCCCATCTAAGCACTATATTGGCGGACAGGTGGCTGGTGAAACTTACTGCGAGGGCACCATGATGAATGACAGTGCAGCGGCAGGGGTGGGCCCGAAGGAGGGGCTGTGGAGCTCCGCCCACTCCAGCACAATGTTGGCCAACAGGTGGCAGCCGAGGCATACTGCGTAGGCCCCATCTTCAGGGGGGCCAGCTGCAGAGGGCGGGCCCAAAGGAGGGGCTACCTTGTTCTGAGTGACTGATAGGGCTGAAGATCCCTGCTCATCTAGCGCTGTTTGTTGGTTGGTAGGTGCCCGCCGAGGCTTACTGCATAGGCACCAATCTTGAATGATGGCAGAGCTGCAGGGGGCAGCTCAGTAGGCCAAGACTTACTGAGCTGGCGCCATTTTAAGTCACAGCAGGGCTGTGGGGGGCGGGCTGAGGGGCTTTGGTGTCTTGAGGGGCTATGGGCACACAGCCCGCCTCAGCAGTCTCTGCTGGCTACTGCGCAGTCGCCTATCTGACAGGCCTGGGGTGCTTGCTGCAGTGGCGCCATCTTGGGCCGCCACGCAACGTGGCAGCCGGCGCTTTGTTTGCTGTGAGGGGCGCCAAAACCAGTGTTGGGAAATGTGGGAACAAGGTTCAACTGTGCAGTTCTGGGTAAATTAGGAGAAAACCAGGGACTCATAATTTAGGAACTTTAATAGATTGGGGAAGGTCAGGATCTTAAGTGAGAAAACGGAAGAGGCGGGCTGTGGGTATAAAATGGGATTTGGGGGCTCTGAGGGCTGTAGGGGGTTTACGCAAAGGGGAAGGCTTGAAGTCTGTGGGATAGGGAATTCAGAGCTGTAGATGGTTATGAGGGGGCGTGGCGTGGGATATGATGAGAGGAGGCCTTTCTCTAGGCAAGTAGGGGCGTGGTTTGGAGTTGGGCTCCCTAAACCCAGACATGGGGCGGGCCGTGGGAGAACTGATGGGGGAGGGCGGGCCATGTTTGTGCGCTCTTCTTATAGCTGTCGTTTGTAACACTGAATTCGCTTTCGCTATGTGTATGTTTGTGGGGAAGAGGGTGGCGGTGCGGGTGGGGAGGCGGGGGAGAGTGTTTCTAGTCCTAGTTTCATGCAAGAAGCTTTAAGTCCCTAGCATTCTCTTTTTTTCTTTTGAAGTAGGTAAAGTGACACTGGATTCCTCCTTCCCAACTAGGTGATGGGAGAGACCTAATTTAAGTATACATCGCCCAGTGACAGCATTAACGTAAACCAGAGCTATAATCATGAAGGTACTTCCTCCAGGAGCCTCTGATTGAATGCATGCTCTGAGGCACAGTGGGACTTGAAATATGTAGTGTTAATCCATTGGGAGTGTGTTGATAATCTGTAAAGTATTACATAAGATTAATGATACCATTACCTAACATTGGTTGAAATAGCATTAAGGTCCTAATGTAAGCTAGTTCCTTTATATTATTTAAATGTACAGCAGAGAGTTAAATTTCTGGTCCGGCATCACTGGCTATGAAATGTCAGAACTGGAGTTTCAACTCACCTTTCTACCACATGGTCTTTATGGAAAACATCAGTAGATATACTGTTTTTTCCAAATGACTTTAGGTTGATCTATAATAGTTTGTCATGAGCCCTGAGATTAAGTTCTCTGAGCCATTCCTTTTCTGTGATATGAGGGCTAGAAAATCAGTAGTGCTATGGTGAGGATTAACAGGATAAAAGTAAAGTGCTAAGCACTGTACATGGTATGTAATTAGCAGAAAAGAATCGTACCTAGCAGTTTTTAACCTGCAACACGTGTCCCTTACCTTTAGATGGATTGCTAATAAGTGGGAATTGGGTTGAATTGATTTAATCCAAAGACCTGTGTCTTTACTGTTTTGCTTTGTTTGTTATAGAAGGTTCTAAGACACCCAGAGATTGACTTGCACACCCGTTGACATAACTTCATTGGGAAAAGGCCGTGATTACAGCCCAGGGTACATGTGCCTCAGGAAGCAATGCTCATGGCCCTTCTATCCTGGGGGGAAAGCTGTTTTCCAGGTCTCACTTGACCCTTGCCACTGTAGAAAATAAAGATACAGCTGTGGGGTTATTTCCAGGTTGAGGAATATAGTAATTGCAAAATAAATTTGGCGTTTCATATTTTCCTTTCCTTCCCCAGCTCTGCCATCTTGACCTTCTCTCCTTTTCTGAGACAACTGGCAAGAAGAAGAGGGACTGGATCTAAATGCTAGGTGGCTGAGTCCAGGTGAGCTGCATTCCTTTCTCACAGTGCGACACACCCATCCTTGAAGTGAGCACATCCTTCCTCATCCTGGCACTTGTACTGTACACGTATTCCATATAGCCACACAAGCACCGTTTGTGCTCTCTGAGAATGCGCAGAATCTTCTGGTGGATCATGTGTTTGCCAGAAATACTCCTTGGCTCCATGCTGTCCTTTTCGGTATCCTAACTCTTTTCCCAAAACTCAGCTACTCCTTCAGGCCTACTCTTTCTCTCTTACTGGGTGATTAAAGAAGCATGAGAGCCATCGTTCGTCTATCAAACATGGCTCCAAGTGAGAAAAGAATTGTTTCCCTCAAGCTTATTGTCTATTGGGTAACAAAAGACATTCAAAAAAATAACTGTGAGCCAGCTGAGTGGCTCAGTTGGTTAAGAACTTGCTCAAGAGCTTGAGCTCTGAGCAACAGCGGTTCGATGCCTGGCCTGAGCTGAGCTGCCAACAGGTGGCAGGGTGGCTCAGCTAAAAAAAAAAATAATAATAATTGTGTTAAGCACGCCTTTGAAAGAGACCATTCATTGCAGGCATTTAACTTAATCTGGGAGAGGCTCTATAGGGCCTTCCTGAGAAAGTTAGGGACATTAAAGTTGAGCCCTGAAGGATGGTGGGTGGTAATGTGTGTGGGAAGAGTAGTTTTAAGGAGAAGGGGACAGGGTTCCTAAGGGATCCAGAGAGAGGAGCCAAAAGTTCAGCATGCCTAGAGCAAAGGAAAGAATAGGGTGGCATTTGTTTGAGGTGGGAAAAAGGTAAATGGGGGCTGCATTGTGAAAGGCCTTGCAATCAATGGTAAGTATTTGGGCTTGATCTGAAGCACAGTGGGGAACCATTGAGGAATTTTAACCATGGAAGTAACATTATGATCAGATTTGTGTTTTTATAATATATGACAAATTGGTAGTCACAAAATGGTCATGGGATGTGAAATACAGTATGGGGAGTATAATCAGTAATGTTGTAAAGACTGTAGGCTGTCAGATGGGGATTGGACTTATCGGGGGGATCACTTCATAGATTATATAAATGCCTAACCACTGTGCTGTACACCTGAAACTAATATAAAATAATATTGAATGTCAAGTATAAGTAAATATGTATATCTACGGGATGTAAAGTATTGCATAGAGAATATAGTCAATGTATTGTAATAGCTATGTATGATGTCAGAGGGGTAGTAGACTTGGGGTTATCACTTTGTGAAGGGTGTAAATGTCTAATTATGTTTAATAATAAAATTAAATTTAAAAAAATCATTTGGTTACAGGGTTCAGAAGGGGAAGTTAGAAAAAGGGGGTGCAGGGAGACCTACCTCTCAGGTCTGGGTGAGAGTGGCTCAGATTAGGGTCATGGCAGGGGGATAAGTGAAGTGGATGGATTTGAGAGCGGTACTGAGGACAGAGACTCAGGGCTTGCACTCTTTGTTCATGGCTGGTTGACTGATTCAGACCAGACTGAGTGAATCCTGTTACCCAGGTGAGTGAGCAAAATAGCCAAAGGTTGTTTATTCCATCAGCAAGCATTGAACCTGTGCCTGATCTGGGACAGGAACATGCTAGACTTTGGGTCTCTGAAAGCAAGTGACATAATCCCTGGCCTCAGTAGCTACTGACTGAGAATCCCAGTTAAATGGAGAATGAGAAATCATGCTTACTAAGATAGGTGGCTGTGCTGATGGTGCATTACCATCTGGGGAAAGGCTAATGTGCTGTCCCAGATGGGCCCCTGGCCTCAGCAAATGCTCCAAGCAAGTAGCCAGTGTCTGGTGCTCAAGCCTGTGGAGACTCAGAAACCTTACTTCGCCTAAGGACTCATCTTATGTTGGTAGGTTCACGTTAATGAAGCTCAGGAGACTTAACGTAAGCCATACTAACAGTTTATGTTGAAAATGATGTGACTGAAATATGATACTCCTGTTCTCTTAAGTTTGGTTTATTGATCTATGGTGGGAGATCACTACAGCAGGGACCCAAGTACTCAAAAGTGTGTATGATCAGCACATTCTCTCCCTGTAGGCAGACCTAGACCTACATGGGAAACGAAACCATAATGAGAAGGTTCCTTGGTGAGTATGGAATCAGAACAAGAGGACAAACAAATAGCACTGGTCTGTAAGGTAGCCACCATCTGGTTGCAGTGAAACTCTTGCTAGGGTTACTATGATACCAGAAGCCCCCTATTTACAGCCTCCACCCTCCCCAGTCTCCATTCAAATTGGTCTGACGTTCACTCTCCTATAGATGTTTTGATAAACCATGTGGCCTACTTTTTATGCCTGCCTTCTAAATAAAACAAAAGTAATCAGCCAATTTTTGATAAAAAGGTTGGATAAGTCATACTGGCTCAGAGGATAGTCTGTCACTTTAAAGTAGCTTTATTCGCCTATTTGGAGGCTGATCATAAAACTGAACTCTTAGATACTAACTCCTGTCTTTGGAAATATTTAAGAACAGATCTTTGGAGCTGGAAGAACAGCTGGAAACCCATAAGCCCTTGCCTGTGTGGAAAATGAGGCTTTACTACTGATGCCCATCATTTGTCTCCTTCCCTCCCCTTAGAATTGGTGGCCTTTTTCAGCCCTTTAAGACCACAGTAAGGCCTGGTCCCTGTGTGTCCCCACACTTGTTCCCCAAATGTGGTCAGACTTTTTAAAATCCTGCCCTTGGCTACTACTTGATTCAGACTAGGATTTCTGCTCCAAAGAGAGTAGTGGAAGCTTTAGTAACCTGGGGTGTGTGAGAGCCCACCTCCAAGCCAGGAAATGAAGGTGATGGGTTTGCCATGTGGCCAGAATTCAGTTGGAGCTATGACACAGAGAGGACAGCTGTCAGTGAGGTCAGGATTTGGGTGTGGAGCCCCATCAGGGGTGCACTCGCCCAAGCCGGGTTTACAGATAGTGAGTGGAGGACTCCTGGGAGCTCTATGGGATGGCTGAAGGGACACATGAAGTGGTTAGAGTGAGCAGCAGGCCTTGTCCTGGGGACCACTGCAGGGGACAGGGTGCTGACGAGCAGTAATAAACAACAGAAAAGGAAAGACAAATGCAATTGAACTTTCAAATTTTATACAAAATTTTTTTCTGATTGTGAAGTTAACACTAAATTGAAATGCAAAAAGAAATGGAAGTATCTTATTAATCATGGATTCTGATTTTTCTTATTTTATGAGAGTCTATACAAGTTTATATGGAAGTTTTCTTCTAGTTTAATTTGTATGTACTGCCATACGTTTAAGTACCTATGTAGTTGTTTTTTTTTTTAACAAAAAGGAGACCATGTCCCCAATTCATTAACATTTCAAACTCGAGCTACGTGAGTAAATTATGTGGGGTGTTAGACAATGGTTGGGGGGAGGGTGTGATGTACCATCCAGAGCTCATAAAATGTGTCCATTATGTTTTCAGTCTCCATTTATATGGGTGTGTGTGTTTCTACATACTACTTTGCAGCTACTTAACAATACAAGAATTTCCATGTAAATCTCCATCTATAGCTTTGCTTTCTAAAAACTGCATTATATTCCATTGTGTGGACATTCTTATTCTGTGTACATGTAAATAGGTATATTTGCAGTAAGAATGCCACATGTGCTGTACAGTTTCATACCCTAATATTTTCATTTAATGCTTTAAACATTTTTTTCCATTTTCATAACTATGTATTTAAATAAACTGGTGTATCCATAACATGGAATACTGTATGGCCTTTAGAAAGAATGTAAATATAGAAAGATAGCCATCATAAATTACTGGGCTGAAAAATACCTTTACACATGTGCAGAACTTCTGGTGTGGTCTCATTTTGGTAAAAACAAAAATGTTAGTATATATATAAATTTTAAAAGCCTTAGTATAAGAACAAATTTGATCAATGGGTGTGGCTTGAGAGTTTCTACATTAAATGTTCTGTAATGTTTGAATGTTGTACTATCTTCTATGTTTGTAAACAGAAAATAAAGCTACAAAGTTTCTTGGAAACATGACAATGATACATAACATTCTATTAAAGATTTTATGTTTTTATTCCTTCTTGTTGAATGAAATTTTTGAGTGCAGTGATTTATTTTAGTGAGAACAAAGTGTGTTTGTCATTGGCTTTTAGAGGCCTTAGCCTTCTAGCAATGTGCAGTTGAAATACAGAATTCCTTAGGGGGAGGCCAGACTCCAGCAAGGTTTTATTGGTCTTTCCTAATGTCAAAAGCAAAACTCCAGACAACTCCTTTTTTGCTTCTTGGAAATATGTACTTGAATTGGCTGTCCGCTCTTGTCACTTTTGATAAAATTACCCATTATCATTTAGTCCTAAGAAAGTTCCCTAGTTTGTACTTAAATAGTTAATGCTTTCCTTGGTTTAAAAACTTTCCTTTATTATCAACTAAATTCCATGTGTATACGAGTATATACTTTTCACACAAGTCAGCTTCTGGACTGTATTGTGTTTCATTAGTATATTTGTCTTTGTATACCCGTATGATTGTGTTGGAAAGGACACTTTTTCACATTTGGGTCATTTTACAGACACCCCCTCACCTCTGCTATACACTCACCTTATTCAGACTTGTCTTGGCGTTCCTACACATTTATTTTATAATACTACAGGACCTGGGTTCTGATTGTCAGAGGTCCCACCTTTTTATTGGATTTTCGTTTATGTTTAAGGGAGGGTTGACAACAACTTCCATGTCCCCGTCCAAAAACATGTCTTCATTTATTTAGGACTTGTTTTATGTCCTATACATTTAAAAAATATTGTTTGGGGTTGCAGATACTTTGTTGAACTTATTTATAGGAACTTACTTTGCTATTAATGGGATTTTTTTTCTTGCTGTACTTACTGACAAAGTTTTTCAGTTGAAAATGCTTTTTCCACATCCTTGCCTCTCATTTCTTTTTCTTCAGTTACGTTAGCTCGGAGTTCCAGAGCAGTGTTGAATGTTAGTTTTGGTGGAGGGCCTCCCTTCTTTGTTCCCACCTATCAGTGGAATTTAGTGTCTAATACCCTTGCTTGCATTTATTTGAGATAAATCTTTATTGTGTTTATAGACGGTTTCCTAGCCTCTTTGCTAAGAATTTATAAGAAAAGGCTGTGAAGTTTGCAAATGCTTTTTAACATGTAAGAGTGCTCATGGGATCCCCTTCCCCTGCTTAAACCATTATATATATATAACAGTCTACCTAATGGGCTATTATTATCTTTGTACTCCTGGACTAGCCTTTCATGGGCGTGGGCTGTTTTTAACTGTTTTACATCTCAGTGCAAAAAATAGGTTTCTCCTATGTGCCAGTCCTATGAAGACAGAAACACAATGATGAAGAAAAAGGTGACAGAGTCCTTGCACTCAGGGATTCTGTGGTGGGGTAGAAGTACAGACACTCTAATTTTCGATTGGGTTCATACATCTTCAAGCACATCTCTGATTATGTGGGTGAATTGTTGTTGATGGACTTTCTGGGCTGTCCTTGGACAGACTTATCCCCTCAGTCTCCACATTTCCTTTGATCAGATCAGGCAAACCTTTAGAAGACTCCTTTTTGCTGCTTTTCTCCTCTCAGCCACCTTCAAACATATCTTCTGTTTTCTTCAATGGTAGGTGGGGCTGTTGCCATGGAGTCAGACACTGGACTGGGGAAGTGGGGGCCAAGTAGGTAGAGCAGTTATGCTTTTGACTGGCCAGAGACCTGTCACAGGAGGAGTTCATCTGGGATCTGGGTCTTCCCCAGAGTGAGGTGAGTATGGGTCCCTGGCTCAGTATCTGGCCCCACTCGTATTTGTCCTTAGGGCTGCAAATAGAAGATAGGGTGAGTTGGGGTGAGGATTGTGTCCTTTAGCAGAGGGTCACACTTCTGTCCAAGAGGTGCAGATGTAGGGCCCACCTGGCATCAGGTAAGCCTGTAGGAGAAAGTTGATCAATGTTGCCCTTTTCCTGAGTTTGACCCTTGGTTGCTCCAACAGGATCTGAGCGCCCTGTTAGGATCTCAGTCATGTAACAACACATGAACAGGACATGCGCTTCTTAGACATGTGCTTGTCTCTTCCCCGGGCTCCACATGTAAAATGGTGTCACCTGACATCTATTGCACAAGCTTTTTAGTGCTGAAGGTTTTACATTTTACAAACTGGAAGTTAGATATACATACAAGGACTTAATCATAGTGGGCAGCTGACTTTTTAGTCTTTAGTTTTTTACTAATATTTTATCTTGACTGTCTTTGTCCTTAAATGGAGACTTGGCTGGTTTTTGGAGAAAAACATTTTGAATGTTTTTTAAAACAGGCTGAAATGACATCCAGAAATATGGTTCACACCTGCATCAGCCATCAATTTTCTCACCTTCAATTTTTATTTTTTCAAATACTTGCTCATTTGATAGGCAAAAAAGTATTCATTGTAATATTCTACATTTTTTTTTTGGATTTCTGATGTAAGTTATTTTACAAACCTTTGATTTCTGATGTAAATACTGGCTCTTATCACTAATTTATGAACTGTGTATTTATGTTCTTAATTTTTACATTGAGCCATTTATCTTACTGCTTTCTAAGGGCTTTTTACATTTAAAATATTAACTGTCATCTGTTACAAAATACACTGCCCCCTCTTCTGGTATGTTTTTATTTTGGTTAGTTTTTATAGGGCAGAAAATTTGTACCCATCTTTATTTTCACATCTGCTGCGTAGTGGTCTTTCAGTGGTCTCTGATGTTGGGATTCTGCTCAAGCATTCTCTTACCCATCCATGTTCTTCACTGTTGTAAACAGTGTGTGTGTGAACACACTTGTGAACTGTCTTCGTTCAAGTGGGCAGATAGGCCCATCAGTTAGATTTCAGAAGTGGAATTGCTAGGATAGGGGATGGTATTGAATTTATGTACTAATAGTTGCTGGAGATCTGAGGGATACATTCAACTTGCAGATGAAATTTCCATAAATATTTCTTGGGTCTGAGAGATTTCACAGTTGACTGCGGTTTTCTAAATTACCTGTTATGTCATCTGCAAATGGCCAGTTTATTTTAGCTGGACTCGAGCAGAGAGGTGCAGTGGGCAGGGGAGGGAAGAGACCCCTCAATGTAAGGTGTCAGTGCTGTCTGCACCCACTCAGAGGGTAGTGCCCTCTCTGAAGGCCTCTGCCAGTGCTTTCATTCATTGTTTTGTTTTAACTTTGAATTTATTTTTTTGACTAGGTAATACATGCTCATGGTAAAAAATTACAAAAACAAAAAAGGAGAATATACAATGAAAATGTAAGTTGCCCTTCTTTCTCTGGCCGCCAGTCCCCTCCCCAGAGGCAGTCACTGTTAATCGCTGTTGATAGTCTCTTATATATCTTCCCAGAAATTGTCTTAAGTAAATGCATCTGTTTTTATAGTGTCTTAGAATGCTGTACACATTGTTATGTCTCATTTTGCACTTAAACTCTCTTAGAGATCATCTCATACCCATTTATTTACAATTACCTCATGATTTTAAAAGGTTTCATAATCATTAGATGAATATACCATATTTTGTCCATAATCAACGACTTCAATGAATATACTTTTGCACATACTCATATATCATGACATATCTCTGGGATAAATTCATACAAGTAGAACTTACAGGACAGGATATGTACATTTTTTATTTTGATATGTAGCCAAATTGCCCCGCATAAAATTTACATTGCCACAAGCAGTACATGAGTATTCCAGTTTTTTCACACAGACATGTATATTGTCTGCCTTCATGATTCTGTTCCTGTGGCCCCTTTGTATACTCGCAAAGGAATTTTCTCAGCCATTGTGGGGAAGGAGCACTTACGGTCTGATTTTTCTAAGGTATTTCTGTTAAAAACTTTCGTTTTCCAGTGCTCTTGCTGACCATGTTTTGTTGGCCTGGTCATAAAATCTTCAGCACATTTAACAAAGTTCATATTTGTTTAGTCCTGAATTTCTTGAGAAAAGGAATGAGTGAAATTTTGGGATAGAAGTTGGTAACTTCCTTTGAACAGGATACTGATGGGCCTTCAGGTTGTCATTCATGAGTGAGGACTTCTCCCTCTCTTTTCTGTGATCTGGAAGGTTTCTATAGCATGGTAAAATACTTGGCTCATGGACATTTTTTTTCCAGCCTCAATTTTGCTCTGCTTCCCAAGTCAGGTGTGACTATTTGTATTGTCTTAGGAAAGCTGTTGATTCCCTGTCAAGTTTTTTAAGCCTTCCGTTCTTATACATAATTTTCACCTATGCGTCCTTTATGCTTCAAATACATGCCTATTGGAAAGAAAAATTAACGTAATAGAAAAGTATATGTATAAGATTAAAGTTGTCCTTAATATCTCCTGATTTTATTATCAGGTTGAAGAGCCCTTCCATGCTCCTGGATTATAAAAAGTAGTCTTTATTTTATTTTTATTTTAGTTTTACCATTTTATATATAGTATGATCCAAGTTAATGATTGGCCAGTTTTACTATTACTACTTATTGAAATAATACATACATACCTTACAATTATTTTTTTTAATTTTTATTTATTAATTTATTTTTAAGAAGGGAGCAGCTCACAGTGGCCCATATGGGGATCGAACCGGTAACCTTGGTGTTATCAGCACCACACTCTATAACCAACTGAGCTAACCAGCCACCCCCTTACTATTTTCAAATGCCACTTTCATAACTACTGAATAGTCAACTACATATGGTAAACTCATATTACAATTCTTTTTTTTTTTTTTTCAAGTCGCAGAGGACAGTTTATTAGAAGCATAAATACATTTCAAAGAAGCATATGCGGGCCCAAGCAGTAGAGAGTGGCTCAAGGGCCATTATTAGAAGAGAAAGTACACTCCAAAGAGTTTGGAGTGGGCCGAGCAAAAGAAGCTCAAAAGGCCGCATATTATAATCCTTTTTTTTTTTTAACTTAAAAAAAAAAAGATTTTATTGGGGAATCAGGGAAGGGGAACAGACAAGTTGCTGTCCTTTTGTTCAGTCTAGTTGTGTAGGACATGGCTTCACTGGCCCATGTTGGTATTATCATTGCGCTCTTCCCGGATGAGGCAGTTACTCGCTGGCCATTAGACGGCTGCTCACGCTGGCTGTCGGCCGTTCTCGCTGGTTGCCAAACCAAACTCACGGTAGCTTATGGCAGCCCACTGCAGCCTAGGCCATTGTCAGCAACTCACGGCAGCCCAGCTCCAAGTGGAGCTGTTGTTCACCATCTTAGCTGTAGAGGGCACAGCGTCACTGGCCCTCATATGGGATCCGAACCAGGGCCCTGCTCAGAGCTGGCATCCCAAGCCAACTCTTAACCAACGCGCTACTCGGCCAGCCCCTCATATTACAATTCTTAAATGAATCAGTCTGTCATAAGTTACAAGTGGTTTTTTATTTTATTTGTTTGGCTTTGACGGTATAGAGAAGAACATCATGTTATTTTTATGTCTTTCTGCCTTTAGGCATCATATTGTAAAATAACTTTCTTATTGCCAACATTATATTAAAATATTTCTTAAATTTTCTGTATGGCTTGTGGCCTTTTCATGTTTGAATTTTCAAAATATTGATCCGAATGGAATTCTTCCAGGCCAGCTTTAGAACCATTGTCAAGTTTCTCAATGTTAATATTCTTTGAAATTCCATTAGCTAGTATAGATGAACTTGGGAGGATTTAGAGCTTCAGTATAGCAGATCCATATATCTTCCGTGCTTATCCTGTGTCTCTCCAGTTACTGCCATTTATATTGCAATATAATTGATTCAAATTTTATCTATATAGGTGGTACTTTTTTCATTAAATCTTTTATAATAGACTTCTTCACATTTAAAAGATTGTGTTAATTGTTGATATTTACAGAATCTACGAAAAGTGATTTCCTTGTTGAATTATCATTAGGCCTGTCTCCATTGATTTGCAGTATCTGAGTGGACAGTCTTCCAAAAGACAATGATAGTTTTATTATGCCTCAGTTGTTTTTCTTGTCTTGTTGAAATTGGGTAGAACTCTAGAGTAATGATCACTAGTGATAGTGTTAAGGCTTTTATGTCTGCTTTCATAAGTGTTTTGGTGTGCAGTTTGTTAGTGCTAATTTCTGTCTTGGGTTTTTTAATTATTCTGACTTCAGTAAGAAAATTTGAAAGCTTTCTATTTCTCTTCTTTGGCTGGTTTATGTGACATGGGCATTGATCTTTTCTTGAAGATGATATAAAAAGCCTCACTCCATTGATATCCAAGTCCACAGCCATTTGGACAATTAATTCTCTGACGCTCGTGTTACATTACTTACATGTTTATTTGTCCATGTGTTTCTTTCTTTAAAATGTTCTGCAGGTTTCTGGCATTTTGACTCTTCCTGTGGATAGCGGCTTGTTCTGAAGTTCCAGAAAGGATCCTTCCCAAACAGGTGATTTACATACCTGAGGGTCTCATGTTGCCTCTGAGAGGTTGGGCTGGTGGCCTCTAGGGGACCAGAGTTTCTCTTGAATCTGGGTGCCACAGGGCAGGGCAGGCTTGGGCTCTCTGCCCTCCCCTTTCTCTGATCTTCTCCAGGGCATTCCCTCTTAGCAGGACCTGGGTATAATTGTGCTCTTGTCCAAATGTTACACCAGGGCTCCAGAGCCTGGGCACATGCCCTTTCCCCTGCTTTGGAATTCTTCAGCCCAGCAGGGTATTATCAAATGCCCTTGTCTCTTATCACCTCTTCTCCTAAAAGAGGGCAGGCAGGGAGGGAGCAGTTCAGTCCCCAAAGTCTTCACGGTGGAGGTGTGTTTGCTTTGTCAGTGCTGAAGCTCCAGAGGATGATAGTGGGGGGGCAGTTTGCCGGGGAGCGGAGTGGCCGCCCGTCACAGCAAGGAGAGCGTGGGACTGAGTGTACTACATTTGTTCCTAAATCATGAAGTCTAGTTTGAGACTGAATAATTGAAACACCTTTTCCTCTTTAAATGTTAAAAAAACAAACAACAACACTTAATTTTAAACTTCTGCTTTTCCTTTTAAAACAAAAGTAGAGAATTTTTGCTACATACAGCCCGAAGTACAAAACTGTCAGGTAAGTTAATTCAGCCACCCAAACCTAGATCCCCCCCCCCCCCCCCCGCCCCCGCATGCTGCCTACTTTCTTAACACCAGTTGTGGCTGAGCAATAATAAAAAGGCTACATAGTAAAACTCATATGCAGCTAAAATGGTTTAAGTGAAGGGAAATGGATAGCCTTAATGGTTACATGAGGGAAAAAAAAGATTGAAAATCAGGTTATATACTCAGTCTAAAAATATTTTTTAAAAAGGGAGAAAGCAGATAATAAAAAATAAAGACAGCTAAGCAAATAAATAGTAACGGGGTTACTGAAGTAGAAAGCTGGTTCTTACAAGACAGATAAAATAGGTCTTTAGCAAGATTGGCAAGTCAAAGGCACATGCAGTAGCATGAAGATGCCTAATGTCACTTCATCACATTCCCACTGTTAGGTAAATAGTGGCGGTCTGTCACCCGTGTGGGGTTTCTATGGAGTCACTACTATTTCTTTTAATTTCCCCTAGTGTACAAGGCTCCGTTGTAAGAGAGCTTCCTGTATGTACTCTTTCCCCTACATACTTATGGGGGAAGAGGCTGGTAGGAAAATGGGCCAGTGAGGGTGGGTGACACACCAGAATACTCTTGGAAACAGTGGCATGGGGGTTACCCCAGGATGTTCCCTCTCCCCGGAAACTATGCTATGCTTCTGCAGGCCAGTGTCTAAAACCAGTTTTAAAGGTCTGCATGTGTTATTTTTAACATGTTTTGTTAGTGTTGATAGATGGCTTTGTGTCAGGCACTAGATGATACAGTGATGGGAAGTTTATCTCTGATCCCTTCAGTAGGGCTTACAGTTTACTGTGGGGAGGGAAGCAAGATAACTCAGATTTCAAAAGAAATGCAATCAGGGCTTGAAACACCCAATAGAGAGAGTATTAGGAAAGGTACCCAGGTCACACGAGCCTGAGGCTGGGTTTGGGGACAGACACTTAGAACGGGGTGCACTGCTGAGAGCGGGGTTCTGAGCACACTCGGACACTACAAGCCACTGTGGCCAGCAGGACTGCCCGTGAGCAGGGAGGTTCTGTGCTGTTCAGGGTGGTCACCACTGACGCTTGAGATGGGGCTAGTGTGACTGAGGAGCTGATTTTAATTTTATTGAATTTTAATTGAAATAGCCACATTTTATGCAGCAGCACATGTGCAGAGAGATTGCTGGTGAGGAGAAAATCCAAGCACCTGCGATCATATTCTTGGAGCTAGCTGAGCACTCCTGACATTTTCACGTGGTCCTCTGTCTTATATGTTGAATACCTTCTTACCAATGACATTAAGGGAAGAACTGCCCAGAAATGGCACAACTGACCCCTACCCCTAATTCCCTCTGTCCAATTTTGCTAAGAGAAAAGTTGACATCCAGTTTTGGTAATGGCTAGCATCTTGCACATTTCCCGTGCCAGGCATTGGGTAGTTAGGCCTTTTAGGTCCATTCATTTATTTAAGCTTCACAGTTCTAAAAGGGAGGGGGGTCTATTTATTTGCAGATTTGGGGACAGACTCCAGGACACTGAATAAGCCCAGGGTCACAAAACCAATTAGTGGCAAAGCTAATTCTTCAAATAGGTATGTGTGGTGCTCAGAGGTCATGCATGTGACTCCTGTGCTGAGGCACTTTTGGTGTCCTGTGTGTGCGTCTGTGGATGGGGGACTTACACATCTCCCCGGGGCCCTTGGCCTGTTCACAAAGCATTGTTGATGCCCCTTGTAGGGCAGCCCCCATCTGCTGCCTGGTCCTCAACTTCTGGGACATGTGTATATCTCCTTACGATCTACAGGTCCCTGAGTACTGACTGTCACAGGCTGCTGCGTCTTTCCTGTTGACTCATGTTTGGTTCCTCCACTGAAAATTTTACTTAGAGAGATGCTGCCTCCAAAGTACTTGTCCACCAACAAACCCAAGAGGTCTTGGGCCCCAGATCTGTATGAGCTAGACAGTGACTTGACTAAGGAGCCGGATGCCATCATAGGAGAAGGCGCGACTGACTCTGAATTCTTTCATCAGAGGTTTCGGAATTTCCTCTACGTGGAATTTGTTGGGCCTCGGAAGACCCTGATCAAACTCCGAAACCTCTGCCTCGATTGGTTGCAGCCGGAGACACACACCAAGGAGGAGATTGTCGAGCTCTTGGTCCTTGAGCAGTACCTGACCATCCTCCCAGAAAGGATCAAGCCTTGGGTGCAAGCAAAAAAGCCACAGAGCTGCGAAAAGCTAGTTACACTGCTGGAAAGTTACAAGGAGATGTATGAGCCAGAAGGTGAGACAGGATGACGGAGGCCGCTGGCGTCCGCCACCTCCCTGGTCTTCTCAGTCTCAGCACTGCTCATGTTCTGGGCCAGATCATTCTCTTCGTGGGAGGGCTATCCTGTCATGGAGTGTTCAGTGGCACCATGGCCTCTGCCCACAAGATACCAGTTGCACCCCCTTCCCCGGCTATGACAACCAAACGTGCTGTTTCCAGTGTCCCTTGGGGAGCAGAATCACCCCAGTTAAGAACCACCGCTCTGATGAGTGAGGGAAAGGTGACATTTCAGTGAAGGGGGTTCCATGAGGAACCAGAGAACCTCCATTTGCCTCATGCCCTGGACCAGGTTCCCTCTTGTGAAACCTGGGGGTGTGGTGCCCCAGAAAGGTGTACATGGCTGCAGTTGGAGTTGAGGTAGCAGTCACAGCTACATCCCCACCTAGAAATGGTAGGAAGCTGAGCTATGAAGCACCGATCCCTCCAGCTTCTCCTGGAGGTGGGATTGTGTGTGGCAGGGATAGATTCCACTTGTCCACTTGGGGAAACTTGTGAGTATGTGGGCAAGAGATGACAAAGCATTAAGTTGGTGTCTGATGTTCTCCCAGACAACAACAGTGACGTCCACAGTGAAGACAGCATGAGCCGAAAGGGAACAGAGTCCCCACCGCCACGCCCTGGCTATTTCTACAGTGAGTAGTCAGGTCTTGCCACCTATTGGGGTGCACTCCCAACCTCTTGCTCAGTTTTCCCTAAGAGTTTGCCGCATTGCATAGGGGTGCACGACAGGCATCAAGACCTCTCAGCTGGCACCACCTTTCCCAGGGCAGCCGCTGCTTCTACTCAGATCTGGGGGCAAAGTGCATTGTGATGACATATGAGACGTTTTTATTTGAAAGCAGATACCATTGTATGAAGTGAAATACAATACTGTTTTTAAATGGCAAGAGAAAGTATTTAAAGCTATTGGAAATTTGCAGCAGGCTGTCTCAAGCTGTGCCCACAGCCTCCCCAGGAGGGGCAGAGTTCATCGTTACCCCTTTGCCTCTAAAGTTATTTGTTAAATGTTCTTCAATGAACTTTTCAGAGGAGCATTGCCTTTGGGGATGCTCTTGTAAGTAGAGTAATGTACACACTAAGATTGGCTGGAGTAAACCAGACAGCACAGGGTCTGGAGTCCATTCTCCTGAATGTCACTTGACCGTGTAGGAATTGGGAAACCAGCAGAAGTGTTTGTTCCAAGGGGGACCGAGCTTCTAAACAAAGCATTGTAACTTGGAAGAAGCCCCACTTAGGTGAAACCTCTAGAAACTGTTCCAGGTCCAGGGTAATGGGAAGAGTCCAGGTGGCACTTGGATGACTAGAGACCTGGATTTGGGACCTGTCTCAAGGCAGAAGCAAGGATGCTGTCTGTCCCCAAAGTGGGCATGTGCATGGAGGGTGAACGCGCACGTATCCAAGCTCTAACTCCTTAAACGTCTGCCTTTCTCAGGGGACCGGGACCGGGACCGGGACCAGGACTGGGACCAGCATTGGGATCGTGACCGGCACCAGGACTGGGACCGGGAGCGGGAGTGGGACCGCAGGGGCAGAAGCAGGGACCTGGAGTTTAGAGACCGCTGGCCGTACACTCGGGGCCCCAGAAGCAGTAAGTCCTGTGCTCTGGCCTCTCCAGTGCGGATGGAAGGTTGGGTGGACCTTGTTCCTTCAGGGCACCTTTTCTCTCCCCAGGATTTCCACAACGGGATCGTTCCCTTCCTGTGATGGAGAAAACATTTGCAATGGAAAGAGGGCACAGACGTAGGGACTTCATGATGGATTATGAGTTGCGATCCCAGGTATGCTCAGTTGTCCTCTCTGGAAAGGCCATTGTCATTTCATGCCAGAGATGTCTTTCTTTCAGAGGGTTGTTCACCCGTCCTCTCAAATCCTACCTGGGTAGGGGTAGAGCCCCAGTTGTTCCCTGCAAGGAGCTGAGGCCTGTCCCCCAGGGGTGACAAGTGGCAAGGTGACTGCTGCTCATTTCCTGATTCATCCACTTAGTCAGAGAAACTCTTTTCCACACAGCATTTGTGTCACTTGGTAGAAAGGTCACATTGACTGTTTCCTAGTGGGCCAGGGAAGCAGAGCGATTCTGGCCGTCAGTAAGGAGCCCGGAGGGTTGCAAATCCACAAAGCAAGACTGGCAAGAGAGCAGAGGCTCTAGAACTGACAAGGTCTGGGTTTGAAGCCCAGCTCTGTGCAGCCTTGGACCATTTACATAACTAAATTGAACCTCAGTTCCCTCATCTGTAAAATGTGTGTAGTGATTACCGCATCAGGGCAGATTTATACACATATGTTAAATGCTTAATACAATGCCTGGTACATGGTAGGCACACCCTGAATGCCAGCACTTAATGGCAGTCATTTTAAGAGGCAGTGTGTTCTCCTGCAGGCAGGCAGGGACCATGGGTGCCTATCAGAAGGAGTGGTGGGTGGAGCTTCTGCTGCAGCAATAACTGATGGGGGAGGGGATGTAGAAGGTGGGCGGTGTCACAGGTGACTCAAGTCCTCCACCCTAAATAAGGGTTATGTCCCTGTTGTCCCAGGGATAACCTCAGTTTGCAGCACACTTAGTTTGCTACTAATTTTGATTTCTTATTTGGAGAAACCAAGTTGACTAAACTTTTAGGAATCCACATAAACATATTAATCGTAGAAACTTTCTGAAACTTGATTTAGAAGAAGAAGCCTCTTTGGTAGCATGGCCACCTGTAAGGGTGATTCACTGGTTTCTGCACACTGCTCTGTGAGGCAATGATGTTTTCAGTGATCTGTGGGGAAATGAAAAATGCAAGTGTCCTTTTTGGGGGATATTAAAATAGTCTTAGGAAATGAAGATGATAGGAAATTGGTAGCTGGACTTTGTCTTGTTGTGCTTTTAAAATGATCTATCACACTGAAGAGTTGGCCCATGTTTGTGTAGTCCAAAGGTCTGGAAGCCACTGATTCATACTAATTCATAATGATAGAAACAGCAGCAGCAAAAAACATAAATTTGGGGGTGTGCAAAACAAAATTTCCATCCACTTTGAGTGTGATGTGTAAGTGTCTTGATCTGTGCATGCAGGTCACGTGAAGCCGAGTTGTGCTGGCACTGCACCCGGACAGTGCCTGTCCAGGTGAGACTGGCCTTCAGCCTGTGCACATTTACTACATTCAATTACAGATGTCAAGTGGATAAGCTTTAGAGTGAGTGACCCACTTGAAGTAGATTAACAATTTTAAATCAGAGTATCAGTTTTCTTTCAAAGGAACAGCATAGTTCAAAATTTAATGTACATTTATTTTACTCAGATTAGGCAAATGGAGACAAAGATAGGAAAAATATTCCTCACCTTTTGCCATTGACCTTGGAGTTTGTCAGCACCAGAGATGGTGACCCTTCTGACTCCTCATCCCCCCAAGTTCGTGACCTCATGTGTTCCCTGCCTGCCTCCAAGTGAGGAGCTCTGGTTTCTGCCCTTGCAGACGCATCTGTCCCTCCTGCGTCACAGCAAACCAGTGCTGAGACCCTAGGAAATGCTGTTGAAAACCCGGGCACAGTGGCACCCCTTGGGAGGTTCTTGCTATTTGACCAGCCAAAATGACACAGCTCAGCTGTACAAGTGGTAGTCGTACTACCTCTGCAAGGCCGCTTGAGCTTTCCAAGCTCGTTGGTTATCCTAGAAATCTCAGCCCTGACCTGGAGTTCCACTTTGGAAGCTCTGCTTAGTTTTGGTGGGGTTTGCTGTTTACTTACTGGACATTGGCAGTTGCATAAACGAGGCTTTCGTCCTGAGTCCCAGTGCCTGTGCCTATTTATCTTTCTCAGTAGGATAAGCACCCAGTTGTGCAAACACTGTCTTTTGCTACATTTCCACATGGCTGCAATGTCCCAGCCATGGACATTTTAATATAGTAAATTTAATATCAAAGTATCTTCATATATAGACTAATAATACGCATTGTTTTACATAATTTAAAAAAAATATTTAAACAACAGCACATTGCAGAAATTCCTCACCCATAAGGGAATGATGCCCTTCTCTCCGTTTTACAGATGAACCTGAGGCTCAGAACGATTTCTGTTCCCAAGGCTGCATGGCCCATAAATGCACTTGTCCTTTAGCCCTCGAACAAGCAATTTAAAAATGCTTTTAAGGAAAATATCCATTAGAACAAAAGAGGAAGCTATAAAAATGAAGGCACTCGGGGCTTAAAGTTATTCCTGGGTTATTTGGAACTTCTGCACACCTAGAAGAGTCCATGGTGTAGCCATGTTGTACTGTACTGTGGGGGGGTGTGTGACATGGAAGAGGGGGGACTGGGGAGGGAGGCTTAAGTCACTTCCTGACCAGATGTCTGCTAAACCACGTTTTCTTTCTGTTGCCCACATATACCATGCAGAGTTAATATTTAGCTTTCCCACCAGTCTCCTTCTCTCTGTCAAAATCTTACCCACCACTTAATGCCCCACCTAAGACCCTCTACAAGCCTTTTGCTCACTGTTCAGCCCACCCTGAACTGTCCCTCCACCAAACCCATTTAGCACTGATTATCTGTACCCCACTTTATTGTTTATTGTTCTCTAATTGTTTCATGAGTCTTTTCTCTCCAACCAAATTATAAGCTGCATGAGGGCAAGGAATATGTGTCATACGTCTTTTGGATCTTCCTCAAAGTATAGCGCCAAGGTAGGTATAAAGTAGGTCCCTAGTAAAACTTGACTTGGATCACTCAGAACCCCAAACGCTGTGAGCACTTTCTACACACCTTTGTATGTGTAGCTCCCATGTCACCAGCATTCTTGCTTTGGATGCCCATGGGAACAGGCTCCATTCAGAGATGTGTGTTTCGTCTTTTAGGATGCAGTATCATACCAGGATGTCGTGGACCTGACTGAGGACAGGGAGCCTCAGAACCCGATTCAGGACAACATGGAGAACTATAGGAAGCTGCTCTCACTGGGTAAGCAGCGGCTTCTCCAGTCTTTCGAGCAGTTTGTCATTTTGTCATCTTATTCTTTTCAAGCTGCAAGATATTAGAGTCCATATTAACATATTTGAATGCTAAGGGTAATAAGAAGTCTTTGAAAGGTTTCAAGCAGAGGAGTAAGTGATGAGATTTGTGGGGTTTTTTTGGTTTTGTTCTTGTTTTTTTTAATATTATTGGGGAACAGCCATGGTCATTTGGTTACACATTGCTTTCATGCTACAGTGGCATAGTTGATTCTTTTAGGGAGGGCACAGCTCCCCATGTGGGAATTGAACCGGCAACCTTGGTGTTATCAGCACCATGCTCTAACCAGCTGAGCTAACTGGTCACTGAGATTTGCGTTCTTAAGAAGTCACGCTGGCTCTGGGTGAAGAACATATTGTACAGGGTGCGGGGAGCAGGGAGATGGCTCTTGCCACAAGAGTTGGTACTTTCTCTAGCGTGGTGACAGCAGAGGTTTTTAAATACACATTTAGAATGGGATCCTGAGTTCCAGTTTGGACTTTCCTAGAAGATAAGTAACTCAAGTCAGAGTAGGCAGTTGACTCTGCTGGTCTGGCGCTGGGAAGAGAGCCACACCGAGAGTGTTGTGTAAGGTGCCTGAGAAGCTTATGTTTGGAGAACATTTGGAGAAGGAAGAGTCAAGAAGAGGAGGAAAACCATGGAGGCCAGTGAAAGAGAGGATATGAAGATTCAAGGGGTGACTGTGAGGAGGTGAAGACTAAAAGGGAAGCACTCAATTTAGGGGCATGTGGAGGTCTTTGTACAAATTTGTGGGTGGAGTCAGTGTAATTAATTAAAATTTGGATTAGAATGGGCTAAGAAGTGATAGTGAGGAAATGAGACTGCAAATAGAAGGCATCCAAAGGATTGGATATTTAGTGGCTCAGAGAAAGACAAACATCAATTTACGGTGATGAGTCCTGGTCCCCAACTTAAGTATGCGCTGTTGTATTCTTGTGAATAGGAGTTCAGCTTGCTGAAGACGATGGCCACTCCCATATGACACAAGGCCATTCATCAAGGTCAAAGAGAAGTGCCTACCCAAGCACCAGTCGAGGTAAGCACTAGGCAGATTGTACACATGGGTCACTTTAATCAATGAGATGGGCAATATATATACATACAGTAAGTCCTCACTTAATGTTGTCCATAGGTTCTGCGACTTTACGTGAAACAACGTCTAACGAAACCAATTTTACCATAGGCTAATTGATATAAACAGAGTTAACTTCCTACGGGATCTCATCAGTGTTGAAACAACGTTGAACGAAATGACGTTATTCGAGGACCTGCTGTACTGATAAAACTTTTACAGTTTATATTCGCACCACCATCACAGAAGTCCTGTTAATTTGCACAAGTACAGGGACGAGGGAGTATTTACATTTGGGGTTTCTTTCCAGGTCTGAAAACTATGCCTGAAACCAAAAAGTCAACCCATCGACGGGGAATTTGTGAAGATGAATCTTCCCACGGGGTGATAATGGAAAAATTCATCAAGGATGTTTCACGCAACTCCAAATCGGGGAGGGCAAGGGAATCTAATGATCGGTCACCAAGGTTCCCCAGAAGGCCAGGCCGTGATTGGAATGATGTTTCATTCAACAACAGGGAGTCAGTGATTCAGGAGAGGAGCTATGAAGGGAGTGCCTTCAGGAGAGGCTTTAATTATAATTCAAACCTTGTTTCCAAAAAGAGAGTTCTTGAAAGAAAAAGGCGCTATCAATTTGACACCGATGGGAAGGGCTCAATTCATGATCAGAGAGGCTGTCCAAGGAAGAGGCCCTTTGAATGTAACGAAATGAGAAAAACCATGAGCATGAGTAGCCTTGGCTCCCCCTCCTTCACCGCGTCGCAGTCACTTGATTTTGGGGCAATGCCCTATGTGTGTGATGAATGTGGGAGGGCTTTCAGTGTGATTTCAGAATTTGTCGAACATCAGATTATGCATACTAGAGAGAATCTGTATGAGTATGGTGAATCCTTTATTCATAGTGTGGCCGTCAGTGAGGTTCAGAAAAGGCAGGCTAGAGGGAAACGCTTTGAATGTAAGGAATGTGGGGAAACCTTCTATAAGAGTGCCGCTCTTGCCGAACATCGGGAAATTCACATTAGAGACTATCTCACAGAATGTAATGATGAGGAGTATGAGGAGCCCTTCATGCCTAGCCCGACCTTTAGTGAGCTTCAGAAAATATATGGAAAAGATAAGTTCTATGAATGTAAAGTGTGTAAGGAAACCTTCCTTCATAGTTCTGCCCTGATCGACCACCAGAAAACCCATGGTAGAGACAACAAATTTAATGAGCGTGGAGAAGCCTTTAAACCCAGCCCAACCTTTAGTGAGCTTCAGAAAATATATGCTAAAGAGAAAATGTACGAATGTAAGGTGTGTGGGGAGACCTTCCATCACAGCTCATCTCTAAAAGAACATCAGAAGATCCATACTAGATCAAACCTATTTGAAAATAAGGGTAAAGTGTGTGAGGAAACGTTTATTCCTGGTCAGTCCCTTAAAAGGCGGCAGAAAAGTTACCCAAAAGAGAAGCGCTATGACTTTAAAGATGGTGGGGATGCCTTTTGGCAAAGGTCAGACTTCAGTGAGCATCAGAAAATTCATTCTCGAAAGAACCTCTATGAAAGGAGGGGGTATGAGAAGTCTGTCATTCATAGTGTGCCCTTCTCTGAATCTCAGAAGAGCCATACTATAACAAGACCACCTGAAAACGAGGATGAGAAGGCATTCACCATTAGCTCTAACCCTGATAACAACCAGAAATTTCCCACTAAAGAAATTGTCTATGAGAGGAAACCATATGAAAGGTCTGTAATTCACAGCTTAGCCTCTGCTGAAGCTCAGAAAAGTCACAGTACAGTGGGACCCAGTAAGCCAAAAGTGATTGTAGAGTCGACCATTCAGAGCTCAAATGTTGCTGAACATCAGCAAGTCCGTGCTGGGGAGAATGCCTCTGAAGGAAAGAAGTATGAGAGGTCCGTTATCCACAGCTTAGTCACTTTCAAACATCCCAAAAGTAGAGATGGAAATGAAGTCATTGAATGTAATGAGAAGAGAGAGTTGTCCATTGGTATCTCAGATCTTCATGATAAGCAACAGAAAAACCCTGCCAAAGAGAGCCCTTACGAAGGGGGTAAGAATAAAAACTACAAGGACTCTGTTATACGCACTGTACCCCATACTGAACCCCAAAAAAGTCTTACTGTAGAGGGAGTCAACGAGTTTAAGAAGGATGGCCATTCGTCTGTTCCCAACTCAAATGTCCGTGAACATCAGAAGGCCCGTGCTAAGAAGAAAAACATTGAGCACAGGAACCCCGAGACCTCTGTAATTCACTCCCTACATCTTGGTGAATCGCAAACATTTCGTCCTAGAGAGAAATTCTATGAATGCCCAGAGTGTGGCGAGTCCTTCGTTCGTAGCTCCGACCTCACTGAGCATCAGAAGATTCATGATAAAAAGAAGCCCTCTGAAAGTAAAAACTATGAACGATCTGTTATTCGCAGCTTAGCCTCCACTGACCCTCAGACAAGTTACACTGAGATGAGTTACGTTCAACAGCCAGTGCAAACAAGTTATGCTCAACAGCCAGCACAGACAAGTTACAGCCAACAGCCGGCACAGGCAAGTTACAGCCAACTTCCAGTGCAGGCAAGTTATAGCCAACAGCCAGCACAGGCAATTTACAGCCAACAGCCGGTGCAGGCAAGTTACAGCCAGCAGCCAGCGCAGGCAAGCTACAGCCAACAGCTGGCGCAAGCAAGCTATAGCCAACAGGCAGTGCACCAAGAATGTAAGGACTGTGGGCGGTGCTTTGCTACCATTGAAGACCTTGGTACACATCAAAAAATCTATGCCCAAGAGGAGTTCCATGGGGCGAAGCTGTTTGGAGCCTCTGTTATTCAGGGTGTAGGCTTTGGTGGGCCTCAGCAGGACGAGGAAGATGAGCAGGACGAGTCGGACGAGCAGGACGAACAGGAAGACCCCGAGGACGCCATCTATGGATGTAAGGACTGTGGGCTGGGCTTTGCGGATCGTGCAGACCTCAAGGACCACCAGAAAGTTCATGGCAGAGAGTATGTCATCAACACTCGTGAGTACACCCAGTCTGTAATTCACACTCATTCTGTCAGCGAGTATCAGAGAGATTACACTGGGGAGCAGCTCTATGAGTGCCCGGCGTGTGGGGAATCCTTTGTTCATAGCTCCTTTCTTTTTGAGCATCAGAAAATACATGAGCAAGATCAGTTTTATGGCCAGAGGAGGTACGATGAGCCTTTCATGCAACCCTTGGTCATTAACCCACCGAGGCCTTGTGCCCCACAGAAGAATGCTCCATCAGGGCTGTTCCTTCAGTGCCATGTGTGTGGCCTGGAGTTCATCCATGGCTCTGTCCTTGATCGGCACATGATAGTTCACATTGGAGAGGACCCCCCGACACAGGGCCAGGGCAGTAGCGAGGCTGTCAGTCCAGGCTTAGCCCTCACTGAGCTGCAGAGAAGTGAAGCTGAAGAGAAGCACTATGAATGTGAAACCTGTGGGGAGTCTTTCCTCAGCCAGTCAGACCTGAGGGAGCACATGAGAGTTCACGAGAAAGAGGAGCCCTACGATTATGGGGCTTCTTTTGTTCATACCTCATTTCTTACTGAGCCCCCCAGAAGAGATTCACCGTTCTATGAGTGCAAGGACTGTGGGAAGTCATTTATTCACAACACAGTTCTCACTAAACATCAGAAGCTTCACGTTGAAGAAGAAGAAGCTGCAGCCCAGGAAGCTGAAGCCAATGTCCTTGTCCCAAGAGAGGTTCTGAGGATCCAGGGTTCAAACATGGAGGCCGCTGAGCCGGAGGTGGAGGCTGCCGAGCCCAACATGGAGGCCGCTGAGCCCAGTGTGGAGGCCGCGGAGCCCAATGGAGGGGCCGCAGGGCCAGACGGGGAGGCTGCGGAGCCCAATGGGGAGGCTGAACAGCCCAATGGGGAGGCTGAACAGCCCAATGAAGATGCGGATGAGCCAGATGGTGCAGGCATCGAAGACCCTGAAGAAAGGGCCCAAGAGCCAGAGGGAGACGCCGATGAGCCAGACGGTGCAGGGATTGAAGACCCGGAGGAAGAAGGTGAAGATCAAGAGATTCAGGTTGAAGAACCATACTATGATTGCCAGGAATGTGCAGAAACCTTCACTTCCAATTCGGCCTATGGCGAGCACCTGAAAACCCATGCCAGGGTGATAATATTCGAGCCTGGAAATGTCTATGGGGAAAGTTCACACTACACTGAACATGCCAGCACCAGCACTGATGACAACGATAGGGTTGACGACAAGTACTTCAAGTGTGATGTCTGTGGGCAGCTCTTCAGCGATCGCCTGTCCCTTGCTAGACACCAGAATACCCATACTGGCTGAGAACACAAGTGTAAAGATTGGAAAACACTTTTACTTAGAACTTGACCCTTACCAAACCACAGAGAATTTGAACCAACCCATAATAATGTCAGATGTAAACTTACCTTGGCCTGGACATACCTGACTTAGCATCAGACAACTAAGACTGGAAAGAAACTGCAGGTGGAGATTCCTTTGGTCTTTACTCTCCCCCATCAAATATTGGTGTGTGCACGTGGGAAAGCACTAGCACATAGCTTACCTTTCATCCAAGTAATCAAATTAGGGATCACTCTGAAATTGCCCCAGCCAACTGTAAATGACACCTCTAACCTATATGTAATGCTCCCTGAATGTATATAGAATAGCAAATCAGCAAAATAGTAATCACCAATACTTGGACTTTATATGACACCCAGTTACAGTTTACTGTGCAGAGGTACCCCTTACTGGCACACTTTGATTTTTCTTCCTTTTTTTTTTTTTTTTGGGAGGAGGAATAGAGCAACAAATTAGAATATATTTGTAGGCATTTTAGGTCCTGAGAAAGATTTATTCTGTGTTATTTTAACCCCCATCCTTTTGAGTAATTGACTGTATTTTTCCTTACTCTTAAATATTCTTGTAAAGGTGTAAGCGTGAAACTCTTGGCTGTTTGAAAAGAGAAGTGCTTTGAGCTTCCTTTTCAACCATTTTGTCTACACCAAAACTTTGTAACCTAATGCTGTGTAATCCTTTACAATATGTGGATTGACCTTTAGTGATCCAAATTGATCAGTTGCCACATTGTACCTTGCAGTGATTCTCATGCAAAAATATTACAAGTTTTGTTATTTTTTTTAATGAATTTAATGTGTTTGATAGTGAATTCACAAGAGCCGAAGCTTTCCCCTGTAAATCTTACTTCTTTGCCTTTAGACTGGGTTGCAACCATCACTAGATCACGATAGTGCCTAATGAAGGTTGAGAACCATAGGGAGAGGCTCTCGTGTTGTAAATAAGGATGCCAGCTAATGACTTTCATCCCTTGCTTTGTGCGCTTCCTGCCTTAAGTGACAAGTAGCAACGTGGCTTCGTTAGTATGTACTGCCACAAGTCAGTTTGCACCCTGGGTGCCCAGGAGCCAGTTACCTTAGAGCTTTCTATCGCTGAACTAAATTCTCATCTTCACCTGTCTGACCTTCAACCCATGTTTAACTTGCATTTTAAAAAATTAAAAAACAAAATAAAAACTTTCTTTACAGTCAACCCAAGCTTAACATGGACTCAGGTTCCCCAGCAGCCTTAATTTGTTTCATTACCACGTGCTCCTTCATTCAGCCCTTCTATTTCTGAGCTCTCTATTCGAGTGTTGTGTTTGTCTGATCTCAGTTTTCCAGTTTAATCACAAATGACCTCATAGCTTGAGGTTTCCTGCGTCTTATTCTGTGACCACCTGTGCTCCTTTTGCTTCCCCTCCCCTTGCATAATAACTATTAAGATATTTTTTGGCTTTGAGTTGGCTGGAAAAAAATTTAAAAATTAAAAAAAATTTTAAAAACTGAATCTGTGGAAGAAGTGAGCAAAGGATAAAAGCAGAAAATTTGAGCAAGTGAAATTAAAATACCTGCTGGGGGAATGTGTCTAAATCTCACTCTCCTAGACCTGCACCGTTAGAGCTTGAGGAGAGTGTGTCAGAGCTGCTCTGGGAATGCCAAAGTTGAGGAAGATTGCAGGGTGAGAGCATGAAGCAGACATGAATAAGCCAAAGAAGGGCAGCCTAATACATCACCAGACCTAGGAGTGTGAGGAAGCTGACAGAAGGAAACAGAAACGGGGATCAGAAGGCCAGGTTGGTGAGAATGAATTGAGCAGGACGTCCTGGGCAGTTTAGAAGAAGGGGGCCATTTCGATGGCATGGTGTGAGGGCCAGCTGTATAGATGGAGGTTGGAACAGACATCCAGGAAAACAGGAGCAGTCAGCCACTGCATCAGAGAAGGACCCTTGAGATGGTAGCGATTGCTGCCATTGTTGGGGTAAACTTGAGTTCATCACTTTTGGCAGGTTTAATTGGTGGAAACTTGTCAGAAAGCAACTTGCTCAGTGTCAGGGTGTCCGTTCCGACCTTTTGTTAGTGAAAAATTAGGAACAAATTGAATGCCAAACAAAGTGATTAAGTGAACATGTATCTTTGGACTCTTACGCAGCTGTTTAAAAATGATAATCATGAAGAGTTATTTAGCAACATGGAAATATATTTACAGAATATTAAGTCGAAAAAGCAGGACACAGAATTATATTTGTACTACAATTACAACTGTTTAAAAATGTACGCTTATAGTCAAAAGCTGTTGTGTTGTAGGCTTCTAGTTGAGCATTATTTTCTTAAATTCCTTGATGTTCTTTATGGTAGTGTTAATAAAAAGTTTATAATCATGTTTCCATTGTGAAAATAATTTGAACTCATTATCAGACACTTGGAAAATACAGAAAAGTGGAGGAAAAGAAAATCCCATATTACCACCATTCAAAGGCTGATATTCTTCAGTATGTTGTTTATTCTTGTTGCTGTGCACAGGTTTATGATTATAACTGTGTTAAAATGTGTATCCAAAATAGCTGTTACATTATCTTTGTGGAATTATTGTTAAATATTTTCATGTTAAAGTTTTCAAATGTTCCTTATAATAGTGTTTTTATAACAAAGTTGATTATGTTTGTTTCTGTTACAATCGTAATACATACCAAGAGAAAAAATTGGAAAACACAGTAAATTAGAAAAGGAAAAATAATCACCCATATTCCCAGCATCCAACAACTACTGTTAACATCTTGATTTGTTTCCTCCATCTTGTTTAGTGTACAAGCTTGTGATTATGGCAGTGTTGAATATGTATGCATAAAGTCTAAGGTGAAAAAATTATGGAAAGTAATTAAAATAGTGTTGTCATTGTGGGATTATGCTAAATATTTTGTCTCTAATTTCTTGAATGATCTTGGTGTTTTGGTATTAAATCTTATGTATTTTTCCATTACAAATATACATACTCATGGCAAACTTGGGGAAATTCAGTAAAGTAGAAGAAAAATTCACCCATATTCCCAACACCTAACAACAACTCCTGTTAACATCTCTATCTGTACACCAGTCTGTGATTATTAGGGTGTTAATGATAAGTATGCACAGAGTCAAAGATGGGAAGAAATATGGAAAACAAGAAATAGTTGTATGGTTGTTGTGGGATTAATGGTGAAATATTTTGTCTTGGTTTCCTTGAATGATCTTTATCATAGTGTTTTGGTAATTCACATTTATTACATTTATTTCCATTGTAAACACAGAACGTGTTCATTATAGAAACTTTGAAGTTGCAAAAATGTAGAAGAGAAACTCACTGATATTTTCACCATCCAAAGGCTGATTAACATCTTGATACATTTTTTCATCTTGTTTCTGTGCACAGGTTTTTGGTTTGTTAGTAATATGCTTGTGGTTGTTCTATCTATCTGTAATAGTGTCAACAATAAAAATAAAGTTAAAAATAAGATATTTCTCAGTCTCTTTTGTCCATTTTAAGTATTTGAGATTATTAAATATTTTGTTGTTGTTGTTGTCATTAAAATTATAAATCCAAAAACTTTGTGCCTTCTTAGGTCTTTAAGTTTGGCTTTCAAATTTTATTTCATTTTTAAGTATCGCATATTGCAACAATTACTTCTAAGGAATCTTTTTTTTTAAAGATTTTTATTGGGGAATTGGGGGGATGGGAACAGTGCTGGGGAATTGGGGAAAGGGGAACAGACAAGTTGCTGTCGTTTTTTGTTCTTCAATCTAGTTGTGGAGGATGTTGCTTCACTGGCCCAAGTTGGCACCATCATTGCGCTCTTCTCTGGCGAGGCAGATCAGTCGCCGGCTTCTGGACGGCCGCTCACTGCGGCTGCTGGCCGCTCACGCTGGCTGCTGGCTACACACGGTAGCCTATGGCAATCCACTGCCACAGGGGCTGCAGCCTAGGCCGTCGCCGGCGACTCATGGCAGCCCAGCTCCAGGCTGAGCTGTTGTTCAGCATCTTAGCTGTAGAGGGCAGTGTCACTGGCCCTCATATGTGGGATCCGAACTGGGGCCCTCTGGCATCCCAAGCGAGTTCTTAACCATCGCGCCACTCGGCCGGCCCTCTAAGGAATCTTAATACTACATGATTCCACATTATTAACTGCACTTATAAAATTGAAACGAGATGTAATAAAAAATTTTGGTGAATGTTTAAATAAAAATTTTATTACAGTAAAAGACACATTGCCGTTAATTCCCCTCAAAATACACCACCCCCCACTTATCCCATCGTTCTTGCCGTTTTCTGAAGCAATTCTGGAAAGTCCTCTTTCGTGAGTGTCTTTAGTTGCGCTGTTGTGGCTGCCTGAATGTCCTGAATCGATTCAAAACGTTTCTCTTTCATGGTCATTTTGACTTTGGGGAAGAGCCAGAAGTCACATGGTGCCAGATCCAGTGAATGTTTTTATTTGACAGAAATTGCCATACCAGAAGTGATATGTGACACAGAGCCTTTCCATTGTAATCACAAAAGACTGAATGCTGCTACTGAGTGCCATCCAACAGAAAGGCAAAGATCGTCAATATGAGAAGTGGTGTGTCAAACCTTAGTAATGGTGTATGACAAGTTTCAACTTGTCAGTGCAGTCGTGTGATCTATGGTTGAGAGAGGTGTGTTTAAAAGTGTGCCTTAAATCATCATTATGACAACACTCCATGACACACATCGCTTCTGATATAGCAATTTCTGTCCAATAAAACATCGCAGTGTGTCCTCATCCACCTTATTCACTGGTTCTGGCACTGTGCAACTTCTGGCTCTTCCCCAAAGTCAGAATGATTCAGGACATCAAGGCAGCCATGACAGTGCAGCCAGACACTCATGAAAGAGGACTTCCAGAACTGTTTCAGAAAGTGGCAAGAACAATGGGATAAGTGTGTTCGAAGTGAGGGGCAGTATATTGAGGGGAGTTAATGGCAATGTGTCTTTTACTGTAATCATTTTTATTTAAACATTCACCGTATTGTTTGATCACACTATATATTCTGATAGTGTTTTTATACTTAATAATCACGCATATATTTTAACTACTTGAACTGACATTTTTCATTTTAATCTGAAGAGATTCTCAAACACAAATAAGAAGGATCCCTTAACATAAAGCCATACGTGTTATGGTTTAAGATTTCTTTAAAGTTTGTATCCCTAAATCTTTCCTGAGGTTAAAAGGTGTTTATCCTCAGGAGTCGTTGCCCTTTTTTTAACCTGACCTCATGACCAGAAACATCCCAGAAAAATTGGCAGTTTTTCCCACGTAAATTGGGAGGTAATTTTCGAACATGCTTATAATTCGATCGTGATCAGAGATTTTCAGCCACGTTGCTAAATGGATCACTCACTGTTGGCTCACTGTTGATGGGTTGCACCAATATCTAATTTGGGATTGTTGTGTCTGTGACTCATGATGCAAAAGGAGATGGTCACATACTTGGCATCCTTCTAACCCCTGCATGTCATGTGATTGAATTCTACTCTTAAGATAGGAAAGTGTACTTCTCATTTAATTACTGTGTTCTTTTCATATTCTCAGAACTTTTGTTTATATTAAATTGAAAGTCCATTGAGTTTTGGTTATCTCTTGTAGCATCTGACTCTTTGGTCACAACTTTGATGGTCCTTCTATGATAAGGGGCATCAGTGTAGGTCACAGTGAGAGGGTCAGTTCTCATTTAAGATTGATTTCCTGACGAGAGTATTGTGAAAGGAAGTAGAGGAAGGGAATGAAGTGTAAGGGTCATTTGAAGGTGCCTGACCAGCACTTAACACTCTTGGGGATTCTGTCCACCACCCATACCTCATATAGGGGAAGGCCACCATTACTCCATGAGATTTGACCCCCCTCCCTGGCCTCAGCTGATTGGTGCTCATGGGTTCCCATTGTCCAGTCAGACACAGACTAAGGGCTAGGAGGGTGGTCATATAGGTTGGTGCCGGGCATGCTGATGAACAAACAGACCTGGAATAAAGCCACATGGCCAGAGGGAAGCTTGGTTCCTGGTGCCTCACCCACCGCGGTGCCTTGTGAATCCTGGCTGAACTGCCTACCCTCGGGTTCCCTAAGAAATGCTTCTCTAAAATTACCCCCTTCTCTCATGAGCTGGCTTGGTTATTGGTGATTTTTGCTGTTTTCACCAGCCCCAGCCCATCCCTGAGATGATGCAGATGGTTCAACTGCAACATAATAAAGGCCAAATAATACAAACCCACAGCTAACATCATACTCAACGGTGAAAAGCTGAAAGCTCCTCTAAAGTCAGGAACAAGACAAGGATGCTTTCACATACATCTATTCAACATACTACTCATGGTCCTAGACAGCGATCAGGCAAGAAAAAGAAAAGGAATCCAAATTGTAAAGGGAGACGTAAAAGTTTTGGGTGTTTTTCCCACCATGGAAGGTAACATAGATTCTGGGGATTAGGATGTGGACATCTTTGGGGAGCTATTTTACCTAACCCTCCCTTAATCTGGAAAAGAAGGGACAGAATGTTGCCTACGTATTTTCTGAAGTGAGAAGGGGAGGACCTGTCCTGGATGGGTCTCCTAAGGTCATGTGTTGCCTAGACCAGTGGTTAAGAGCACTCATCCTAGAACCAAGCCGAGGCTGGGTTTGAATCCCAGCTTCCCGTTTCCTAGGTGCTCCCAATAGCTCTATGTTTTGATTTACTGCAAAACAGAAATAATAATATATCCAGGACTGGCTGCATGATTTAGGGGACCCAGTACAAAATTAAAATGTGGGATCCCATGTTCAGACATTGTTAAGAGTTCCAGACATGCACAGAGCATTAAACCTACCTAGGGACACATCTCCAATCCCATCCCTCACACTCATGAAGGGGTGTTCTGGGGCTTGGATGTTGTAGGGAATGGGGCTGGTGACACAGTGAGCCCAGAGCTCAGGTTCTCCATTTTCTCAAACCTCTCCACCAGGGAATGGGGTCCCAATGGTCTGAAACTACCATCCAATCAACCTGTGAGAGAGGGAATAGGAGTTCCTCCCCACTCCTACTCTGGGCAGAGTCCTGGGTGAGAGGCATAGACCTCTCCAGACAGTGACTCTGGCCTGGACCTGAAGGAGTGCTCACCTCCACCTAGCCCTCTGGATCCAGGAGAGGCATGGAGGGGCCCTCCCAGACCCGAAAAGGCCGTTTAGGGTTAATTGTTTTCTGCACGGGGCTCCAGCCACTGTGCTTTCTACAAATACATCACATCTGTCCCCATCTTTGGTCCTTTTTGCACTGGCTATTTCTTCTTCCCAGAACACATCTGCAGATATAAATTGTCTTGCTTTTTGGGACTCCTTCAGAGCTTTGGCCCAATGTCTTCTTTCTAGGGATACTCCTTGGCCATCCTGAAATTGCAACACTTTCCCTAAACCCCTCCTAACTGTTTACTGCATCCAACACACTTGGATTCCCATCCCCACCAACCTCTGCTATCTGATACCAGCTCTGTGCTTGTGGGCAAATCAGTTAACCTTTTAGAGCCTCCATTTACTTGGTTACTTAACCCTTTTATACCTCATTTTGCCATCTGTAAAATGGTAGTGATACTACTACCTACCTAATAGGGCTTTGGGTAGTGGTCATTACACTTGTAATGTAATGACTTAGAACAGGGAATGGCTTAAAATAGGAACAGGCATAGGGCAAGTGTCCAAAAAATACTATTATGTCCTCATCATCATGCATAAAAAAATTATTGCGTGTTTCAGTACACTGTCCCCACTACGAGGCCTGACAATTAAGTTCACGAACTCATCCTAGAAGAAAAGCTACATACCTCATTGCTGAATATCGCTACAGTCACCTTCGAAACACTCCCCTTGGGAAGCTTTGCACCAAGGCCAGCACCTAGTCCACACTTCAAAGCAATTTTGGAACTCTTTCTGGAATGGAAATCAGAGCAGTCGTCGTATTACCCTTAATGTCCTGAATGTCATCAAAATGTCTTCATTTCAATATTTCCTTTATCTTCAGGAAAAGACAGAAGTCATTGGGGGGCCAGATCAGGTGAGTAGGGAGGGTGTTCCAATACAGTTATTTGTTTACTGGCTAAAAACTCCCTCACAAACAATGCCATGTGAGCTGGTGCATTGTTGTGATGCAAGAGCCATGAATTTTGGGGGAAAAGTTCAGGTTTAACTTTCTCATGCAGCCTTTTCAGCACTTCCAAATAGTAAACTTGGTTAACTGTTTGTCCAGTTGGTACAAATTCATAATGAATAATCCTTCTGATACTAAAGAAGGTTAGCAACATCATTGCAACAAGTTTGCGAACTTAATTGTCCAACCTTGTATGTCGAGCCCTTAATAAATATGCTTTGGTTAAATAACAGTGGTTCATAAACATGGGAAAACATGCTCTACCTTGCTCATGAAAGGGAAATGTAAACTAGAACTATGCTGAATAGCATTTCTCAATGCTCATTTTG